CTAGTTGAGACTAACAAGTGAGATCATGACGTTCATTAGAAAGGAGGATTATGCAGATGCACTCGTTGGCTGATAACGTCTTAATGAAATCATTAGCCATCCTGTTGACTTTTTCAGACTATTGAGTTTAAGAGTAAGAATTTACTGAGACCAATCAACACATTCATGACCAAAACCCACTGATTTGGTGACAATAAGAAGAACACAGACTTCTGCTTAATCCTCTGCAGCGTGTAAATGATGCACGGCTGGCGCCTGCGAACGGCTTTGCATGCTGTCATTCTGCATAAGCACAGAATCTGTCGCTCGCTAATTATCTCCACACCTCATGGTCCTGCCTGTTCACACTCTGCAGGTAATTCTTATGAATTTTCATCCATAAACTCACACTTTTATATAAAAACATGCGATACATTTAATATAACTGTGCGACACCCGCTGGCTCTTTCAATGACGTGTGAACTAATTGGTCACACAAGACGGCATACTGTGCACACTTGCAGGAACAAACCACAAGCATCATGACACAGCTGAAGCTTCATATCTAACCAAAGCTTGCATTTTGTCTAAAGCATCTGCTGCAATGCATGCTGGTCTGTCTCCATCCTGTCCTGCAGCCCTTATACTAAATGGATGGCTGCCATGTTCAGCAGTTTATGAAGGAACACTTTTCCAGGATAACTTTTTGCTATCATGAAAATCATTTATCGCTCAAACACGTTTACCTCTTTGTCATTTCCACCCCACCTCACTTCCTTCTTCTTTCCCCTTCTCGCTCCAATCTCCCTCTGTACTACTCTTCATCACTAATTTCAGCCAGAAGTTGAGTTTTAAGGAGCGGGTGAGGATGGCGAGCCCCCGAGGTCAGAGCATCAAGAATAGGCAGACGTCATCAGTGAACGACAGGCGCTCTCCGGTGGCTGACGCTGGCACAGAGGGCACCAGTCCCGCCAAGGTTCAGAAGAGCTGGAGCTTCAACGACCGCACGCGGTTCAGACCGTCGCTCCGCCTCAAGAGTCAGTCCCGCTCCACCACTGATGGTGCGTGTGCCGTTCTGCTTTCACTGCCGGTATTTTATATCAGTGTGGATTATTAACAAAGCAAAATCACCTGTTTTAGAGTCTGGCTTCTGGCTTATAAATGTTCATAAATGTTATAAATATCTGCTAAGTAACATATTACCGTACCAAAACTGAAGACGGCCTTCATGGTTTCATCATCTTCTCTCTATTATCATTAGGGATGGGTATCGTTTAGGTTTTATCCGATACCGGTGCCAAACCGGTACTTTTGAAACGGTGCCGGTGCTTAAA